TAGCTCAGGGCCGTTGACAGGGCAAAGTCGTATCCCCTAATCAAAAGTAAATACCTAAGTCCTCTAACTAAAGTAGATAGGGAAGTAGGGTCGAACTCCACAGGGAAACAAGTCTTTTTACTCCTAATTAATTATTATAATCTAAATTATCTAAGTAACCAATATTTTTGGGAATAAATTCTATACTACGAAGAATAAGTTTAGGGAGAAAAACAATAATAAGAAGGCCTAGGGTCACAGGTTCACCAATAATTAATATTGCGGGATAAAACATAATAACTAATAATTAACATTGCACAAATAACATGATCAATAGGCTCTCGCAATTTATTAATCAACATAGATCTAACAGGCTCTCGCAATTTACTAGATCTAAGTTCCTATTAAAAATAGCCTTTAATATTAAATTAACATCTGCTCGATTCATCAATTCAATATTGCTAAACATTCACAATCAAATTACATCTGCTCGATTCATAATCTAATTGCAAAGAATTAAAACAATTCAATAAGAAATTATCATGCAATACCAATAATCAATAATAACAAATTATCCCTTCATATTAATTATGGATCCCCGTAAACCCTAGAATTAAACTACTCAGACATAATTATAACTAAACTAATCAAATAAATAAAACAAAACATAATCAAAGAGGTAAATGAAATAGCTGAAATTAAAAGAGAAGAAATTGTTACCAAAAGAAATCTGGATTAATGAAAGAAAATTAAGAACAAAAGTTGAGAGAGAATTTAAGAGAGAGAAATATCCTAAGTAGAGAGAGAAAATCTAAAAAAGAAGATAATCCAAAATTATGTACATAATTCGTACTTAAACATTCCTCAAAACAAAATTAAAACTAATCTTATCAGCTCTGAGAAAAACACGCGCCCGATCGGGCGCGCCTTTTTCCTCATGCCTCTTCTCAGCAGCAACGCCCGATCGAGCTAAATGCTCGCACGATCGGGCGCGCCTTAGGCCACGCACCAGCACCAAAGCTGCACGCCGCGCCCGATCGAGCTAATGCTTGCCCGATCGGGCCCTTGCTTCTCTTCGAGGCTTGGACTTCGATTGGGCTTGATTCCTCGGCCCAATCTGGATTTCCTCTTCGGGTCTTGAATACTCGGTCCAAATACCTCGGTATCCCGATTACCGAGCCCTTAATCACCGGCTCGATGACTCTAACCGGCCTTGGGCTTCAAAGATGGCCGTGCTCTTCTAATTTCCGTAGTCGCTCCATGAAAAACCCGAGAAAATGCTCCAAAGGTGCAATTTCCTACAAAACTCAACAAAGACTACAAAAACACTAGAAAACACCAATTAGCAATAAAAGTGGCTCGAAAGAGCCAAAAACACTACTAATTATGACCAAGGGACGGGGGTAAATTACTATATAAAATGGACATATCAAACTCCCCCAAGCCAAACCTTTGCTTGTCCCTAAGCAAAGAGCTCATCAATGAACATATAAAACATGCCTCACCCTAATAATCAAATTAAGCACAAACGATTCAAGGCAAATCTAATGAACATGCTTCAACATCAATCAATCTTATTCATTCAATCACCCTTCCTCCCCAAAAATTGTCAAATAGAGCAAACCACAAGAGCATATAGAATTCAAGACTAGTGCTCACACACTCAACTCTCATTTATGTGGCGAGTAAAAGATGTACTCGATCACTCTCCAACCAACCCTTTATGTGAACAATGCCCTCCCAACTCACACCATCGTGTGTTTAAAAAGACATACACTCAACCTAATAGTCGACTCGGAATATGTCAAGTCATAACTTGCATTGATAAACAACACTTTCACATTTACACAACTCTATGCACAAGGTGGGAAGGTCTTTAAATCTTGTAATGTAAGGCTAGGGTAAAGGGTAGGATAAATTTGTGAATATGTGAGAGAAAAGCTATGCATTAAGGGAGCCAAATCCTAACAAACCCATGATCAAAAATAAATGATGATCATACATCTCCAACAACATAACTAACTCCAACAAGAACCACCAATACAACTCCAATCATAAACAAACCCATTACTTACAAAATTCACTCATAAAAATATGATAATGTAGAACTTGAGGGAAATACAAACTTTGAACTCATTCTCTTTTTTTTTCTTTCTTTTCAAACTTGAATTTTTTTCTTTTTTCTTTTGAATTTTTTTTTTCTCTTCTTGAACAACCTTCAAATAGAACATTTGAACATTAAAATTTTTTTCCTTTTTAACTCATATTGAAAATTTCAAATTTGTAACACAACATATCAATATTTTCCAATTATAAAATCAAAGAACAATCACTCTTCTTTTATTCCCACATTGTGCAAATAATGTGCACACCACAACTCCCTGACCTCACCAACTAATAGCTCCCCCAAGCCAAGCTTGGGACTAGTAGCCAATGGGGCTCATATAGGCTTGTAATGTGGCTAAATAAACAATAAAAGGGCACAAGCAACAACATGGGTAACAAGAAGGGAACAAATGTATCTAATATCCTCTGAAGGCTTCCTAAGAGAACAAATGCCTTCGTCCTCCTCAATGTGCATAATATTGAGCTATATAAACATTACTAATAGTTGTAAACCAATACTCAAATTCATTGACATACCAGGAACTATGGAACTATCACACGTTCCTAACCAAATCAACTAGTTGGCAAAATTGACGCATGTTTAGGAATCCAAACAATTAAACTTCAAATCATGACTAACAAATCCACAATGCTCATTATCAATAAACAAGAATCAAAACAAATTTTCTCATGTAAGGGGCACAGGGAAGCATGATTTACAATTCATTGGAACGTATTTTTGGATTTTTTTTTTCAATTTTTTTTGTATTTTTCTCATAAGGAAAGCAAATAGAAACTACACTAAAAAGAAAAAAAACTATACTAGAAAGCAAATAAAAAGAGAAAAGGAAGAGAATTACCAAGCGAAAGATCACCCCCCAAGCCAAATCAAGCAATGCCCTCATTGACTTGGGAGTGTAGCCTACTCCTCATCCTCGTCCATCCTCGAATAGCCCCCTCCATGGCTATGACTGGCTCCTCCATGGCTCGAACCACCACCTCCATAACCCGAACCACTTGCAAAGTAGTTAGGATCCACATTCCCCCAAGCCCACCAAAAGGAGCATCGGTCCCATAACCATGGACCGATGAGTAGTCCACATAGGTACCGTAGGCACTTGGGTCCGTGTATCCTCCTTGAGGATATTGGAACCAATCGGGAACAAGTGAATCGGGGGGAATAGCCCCCCTACGTGCATAGTCATCGTACACTGGGTACAAACCCCTCCCGGCGTTCCTCTTCACATACCCCACCCGTCTATCTAGAGACCCAACTCTAGTGTCCAAGTTCCTAACCATACTCTCGACTCTCCCTTGCCCCATCTCAATCCTATCCAATTGGCTCCTAAAAGCCGAAAAGTCATAAGGGGCGTTGGGGTCAATGTTGTAGTTGGTTGAGGAAGTGGGAATGTCATATGTGTAGGGTTGGGGTGATGGTTGGTGAAATTGAGATTGTGGTGAGGGTGGTGCTTGGTGAGACGCTTGGGCCTCACCTTGGTTGCCTAAGTCGAAGGTGTAAGAAGGTAAACCCTTCTCAAACTTGGTCATAACCGGGTTAGGCAAAGTAAAAGCATTGTCCCTTCTACCCGATTCCCTTTGAATCACCCACCAAGTCTCACCTCCTATGACATTTATCCAATTTAGGCCACCTAAATAGGGTAGGTCCATAATTGTTGGGCTGGCTACCTTCCCCTCGTTGTTAGGGACAAAGTTAAGGTGTTTGACCGCTATGTGAGTTACTAGACCACCAAAATAAATGGGTACCCTAGGCCTACCCGCCTCGGCCGCATTGGCCACCCTTTGGAAGTGTTGGGCCATCTTATGGACAATGTTGAGCTTATCACTCCTAGGTATCATGTATGACCCTAACAATTCTAGTTCATCCCTCCTAACGTTGGCGGGTTCATGCCTCCCAAAGATGGTAAGGCCAACAAACCGTTGCCAAAACTTTGGCACGGGATGTTGTATCCAAGTGCACTTGGCATGTTGGAGGTTCAAGTTGGCATTCCCCGTAAGGGATTGATAGACAACGACAATGTTGTCTTGAGGAGGTTCGATTGGTCTATCCGATTTTAACTCAAATAATTTGCCAAATTCTTTCAAAGACAATCTAACATCATTATTAAGCAATCTAAATTGAACATGAGTAATCAAAACATTAGATTTTATAACATTAAAACTAGAAATGAATTCTAAGGTCAAATAATCATAAGTATCATAATGCAAGTTAAACAAACCACTCATGCCAATTCCTTCAAACAATTTTTCTACGGGTTTACTAATTCCTAATCTAGCAAGGGTGGGGTGATAAACAAAGCGTGTAGGAATTACCTGCCTTGACGTGAGATTGATCATCCGTTGTCTTTTCTCTTGGGTGGTGATGACCACCCTCTCCCATCCCGGAACATGCAACTCCGGGTCAATCCTAGGCGCTTGGTGCCTTGAGCTTTCCCCCCTTATGGTCCTAGATCTTTTGAGAGCCATTTTTGATGAGAAATGGTAGGAATTGAAGCTTTCTCTCTCTTAGGGTTTTGAGATAAATTGAGAGAAAGTCACTACAAAAAAAATGAGAATAGGCAACGCACTAAATTGCAACAAAATAACAAATGTTGTCTTTTGTAGGAAAAGGCAACAACACTTGGTTGTTACCTTCATCATAACAATCTATAGTACATATTATAATGCAACGGTTTCAGAAGTGTTGCTTTAGAGTATGTTAGACAACAATATTATAAAATGTAGCCTTTAAGACAACAACAATCAAATTGTTGTCTATAAAAAAATATAAAAAGTTGATATTATAAAAACATTATATTAATACCTATTTAACAACATACTTTATTATAAATATTTGTTTTTGATGCATTGATTGGCCTCGGTGGAAAGTCCCCTTTACCTATCAAATATTCAAAATATACAGTATACTTTGTAGGAAAAATAGAAATCATAACATAAAACTCGTTAAGAGATAGAAATTAGACTATTATCCTCATAAATAAAAATAATAATAATAATCCTTTATCTTCAAAAATAAGTTAAAAAAACTCATATACTCGTAATAAGAGTTAAAACTAGACCTTTTATCTCCAAAAAAATTACTGTAAAAAAACTAAAGACAATCAATTATCCATTCTTCAAAACCGCGAAAATGGTGAATTATTTTTGGCTTTTCCCACTAAGAATCAATTACTCATAATTAACAAGGTCATAAAAAAAAATTACTCATAATTAAAAACGCCAGAAAAAAAAAAGCAACGCCAAAATAAAATGCTCTTCAAATCACGAGTTCACAGGAAAGAAAGAAAAAATCAGCAAACATAAAAAGTTAAAAACAAAACAACGAAGCAAGAAACACTTCTCTCTCTTCAATTATTTCAAAACAGCGTTGTATGGGTAATCCGCCACTGCCAGCCACCACTGCTGTCGGTCTGCCAGCCTGCCGCCGCACCTTCCGGCCACCGCACGTTCGCACTAACCACCGCACTCCAATCTCCAGCCACCGCACAACCGCACTCTAAATAAGTTAATTCCATATTCATACTTAAATATTGATTTTTAAGTTTTTAATTTCTTATTACATGAGTTGTTAGGTTGATTTTGTGCTTAAATTAGTTGTTTATCTTATTTAATTTATCAAATTAGTGTGGATGTTGGTTGAAATTGATGATTTGTTATTTAATTTATAAAATTAGAGCGTTAGGGTTTCTTCGTCCGAGTTGGAGTTCGCGTCTGCTAGTTAGAGACTTGGAGTTCCAGTTCGCGTCTGCAGGCCTTCTAGTTGGAGTTCCAGTTCGCGTCTTCATTCAATCGTTCGACAATTGGAGTTCGCTGTTGGCTTTTCGCGTCTTCTACTCTTCTGGTCTTCGACTCTTCGCTAGACCCAATTCACCCAAATCACCAAATGGTATGTAAATCTGAATTTAATCTCTGAATTATTAGTTTATTACTTGTTTAATTGTTTTATAGTTTATACTTTTATTGTGGATTTGTGGGTATTGAAGATTTTAAGTATTGAACTATTGAAAATATACAGGTTCATGATTCAAATTACTTGCTTTACCGATAAGAGAGTATCTTTTGCTACAAATAACACTTAAGACTTAACTTGAGTATCAATCAGATAAACAGCTTCGTAACCCACTTTTTACAGAGTTGTACAAGCTAATTTAACAAGAAACTCAGATTATTAATTGATAAATTACAGCTTGTACTTGTAATATTTATGTGGGTTGTACTTGTGGTTTTTTTAATCTAGGTAGCTTGATACTAATCAATGAGCTAGAGTGCTATTAATTTCCTCTAATACGAGCAGTTTGGAACGGAGCCTAACCTTTAATTTGACCAATTGGTAAGTGATGCTTAATATAATATTCTCATAGCCTCTTTCAAAGTTGATTAATTTGCTTAGTATTATATTGTGATTCTTTTGTGAGGTAATCTGCTTAAGATTTGCTTCAAGGATGATGGACACCCTGGTTTGTTTTTCTAATTGTCATCACTCAGCTTCTCTAGCTTGGTTGTAAGTTCTAATTATCTCTAAGTTGTAAGTTCTCAGTTCGGACCTAATGATTTATTGGCTATAATTTACTTCATATTGTTTTAGCACCTCTATTCAGTTTTAGTGTATATACTTACCTTCGCCATTTTCGTGAAACCTGATATATGCTTTTTAAAATTCAAGTAGGTTTGAATTGCCTATTATTTAGACTTATGAAATTAAAGGTCTTGAGCATGTGAGGGTGGAAAGGATTCAAGCCTTAGGATACTGTTTAGTTGCATTAGAGCAAATAGGGGTTTAAGCAGGTTTATCATGAGAACATTTAATGGATTGGTAATAAATCAGAGTTTTAATGATGTTTAATTGATAGCTATTTTTATGTTTAAGACATCAAGGTAATTAACAAGTTAGATTTTCAATTTATAAACCAAAAGCTATAAACACATTATCCAGCTGATTCAACCAACAACCTCAAATTATTAGTTGCATCCATTTGAGAATGTGTCTACATTCCTGTTTTAATTTAGCTCACACTTAATAAAATTTGATTTCCTTTTTAACTTAACATTTCCCTTTTATAATGAGATTTCTAGATTAAAATGCATTATACCAAGATTAGTCTTACAACATAGGATCATTAAAAGCAATTTAATTATATTAGAGGTTAGGGTAATTCCTTAAGCCTTGGAACCTGTTTCTAGGTTGCTGCCACTACTTGCAGACTGCTGCTGTTACCCTACCTATTGCTGGCATACTGCTGTTGCTGCTACCGCTATTGGTAGCCTGCTGCTGGCGTTGATAACAGGGCAGATAGGCTGCTAACAGGTCATGCTGTTGTCATTGCCGTTGTTAAAAAAAAAAAAAACTTTATGAATTGAAAACATGGATTTGGAGTATGTATGTCCTATTAAATGTTTAGCATCAAGATATTTTTTGAATAATTTGTATGTTTAGTGGTGCAGTGGTGTAGGTAAGGGGTAAGGAAGAGGAACAGTGTGCAGGGATGGGGCATGGAGGGGAGTAATATACAGGGAACAATATTGATTGCAACTTGAAATTATCTAAACTGAAAGTTTTTAAAGCTTAAAAGAATAAGCCATAGTCTATTTTAATAAGAAAAGGGATTTCAAAGACCCTTTAAATTTTTAGAAATAACGTTTTCATCTCAATGATCGATGTCAGTGTAAAAAACAAGATGAGTTACAAAAGTAGCTAAATTACACCTTTATAAGATTGAAATTCAAACTAAAATTGTTTCACTATAACTAGTTATGATTTATTTTGAAAATGAAAGTCAATCGACAAAAATAGATGAGTGTGTCAATTAAAGATTGAAGTTAGTAGCCTTAGCAATATGGTATGGTAGTATTATAGTACCAAATAGTCTTCTAAAGAGTAGATCACTATTGTATAGCCTAAGATGTGAACATTTTTTTTATTGCTGCGTTTATTTTAAGTTGTCTACTTATAAAATTGAACTAAATATTAATACTTATAGTTAAAAATCTTCTAGCTGTTGATCTTGTAGCTATAAATCTTTAGAATGGATATTTATAGAAAGAGGTCAGAGTGAATGAAAAGTAATATGTAATTAGTGATTTATATATAGAGAGCTAATTAGTTACTTTGTTTTCATTGTTTTGATTTCTTTCCTTTTTTTTTGGGGGGGGGGTTGTATGTGTGTGTGTGTTCTGCCATTTGATGGTTCTTGTGACTGGCTGTGATGATGGAATTAATAAGCTGCTTTGATGGTTTGATTATGAATCTGGTAGGTAAAGGGTGGGTAAATTAATTAGGATCAACAAAATAACTCACTTTATATAATAATTAGGAGCAACAATCAAAATCTTGTCGTCTTTTGAGCTACCCACAAGAATGATTTCCTAGATAATTCTAGATACAAGTCATACAACTACCTTACTTCTTTGTATCAAGAATGTATTAATATACCTGTAAGGCTGCACATCACTACTATTTTTACAAGGGTGCACTTTCGAGTTCTAAAGGATATCTATTTCTAACATGTAACAATGCACTCTAGACAATAAATTGATCGTATTTCATAGGGTAATCATAGTGTAATAGACTTTGATTTCCCCGTCTTCCTTACCAAGGTTTATCTTAGTTTGTGAAAGTGTCTGAAAGATCATAATGTACAATGCACATAGATTATTTTCCACCGTCCAATTTCTCCACTCTACTTTGCCTCTCATGTCCAGTAAACTTAGTTGGAAGTTTATCTTTTACTACAACTTTAATAAGGTAAGTTATAAGATTAATTGTTTGGCTATACCATTAAACATATGACAAATAATTTCTATTTTGTATATTGTTTCATTATGTATTTTATCTCATTATCCCTCCAATCTTTTTTGTTGTTCTTTCCATTTTGACTTTTTTTTTTGTCTCTTGAGTAGAAGAGCAAATAGAATTGGAGGGAGTATTATTTACTCTTTATTTTCCTAATCTATGCATGGTGAATATTTGATGTATTACATTACTAACTAGTGTTCGTCTATTTCCTTCCTTTGGTCTTGGATGAATGTAAAAATTGCTTTATGAATCTTGATATTTGTATGTTTTGCTTGTCATACTAGTCAAACGTTTTAATTCTATATCTTTGCTTAGAATTTCAATTATTTTTCTTAGTTTTTGAAAAATTATTATTCTAACTTTGTTATTTGATCAGTAATACAGGGTGTACAAGTACATTGAAGAAGATATATATTAAAGACAAAAACGAAGAGTTGATCTACTAGCATCTCTTTGAGGGTTACATTCCTTCCCCCATGTACAGAATTAGATATAAACAAATATACATTTAGTGTTATTAGAAATGTACTAGCTTAGATTGTGAATTACAAGTTATTTAGTATTTTTATGAGTATTTGTAGTAAAATTTTATTGGATATTGTTTTTTGGATTTTAATGAGTGACATGAATTTTGTTATAAAATCAAGTTTCTTCTACATTGATGTTCAGCTTCCTATTAAACTGATTATTGTGTATTGTTGAGTTCACATGTTTAATCATCTTTGCTCATTTAATTATAATTTTATATATAATCGCTTTAATGGTGTTGCCTTAAGATATTTGGCAACACTTTTGTATTATTACTAGCTAATACATCAACTGAAAAGGTTGTTGCATAATATGATATAAGGTTACAATTTCAAATTGTCTCCTTAGGTGGCAACAGTTTTCATTTGTTGCCTTTATAAAAATGTTGCCTTAAGCATCATTATACCTTGGCCTTTAAAATTGTTGCTTTTGAACTAAAATGTGTTGCCTTATGAATAGACAACAGGGGCATAAACTACGCCTCATATGTGTTGCCTTAGCTACAAGGCAACACTTTTTTCATATTAGGCAATGGTTTTTCAATGTTATCTTTGCTTTATTTTGTTGTAGTTGTTTCGGGGTTTTCTGGTGTCCTGCGGGAGAGTTACAACACCGAGACTGGAACCGGACGCCTGTACCTGCAAAACAACGAAGACTCCTTGTGGTAGGAGCTCCGCCTCCAACGGTCAAGTTAGTACCTGATTAAGGAGTAATAAATGCGGAAATTAAAGTGATTTAGTCTCTCTAGGTGAGAGTGTTTAATGTGTAATCCGTGTGTTGTTTTCGAGTCCTCCTCCTCTTAATGAGGATTAAGAGGGGTATTTATAACCTCGGGAAGCGTGCCACTCTCTAGGTTTAGGGTAAACCTAGGGCTGACTGGGCCTCTAAACAGGATTGGGCCTTGTTGGCCGGTTTTCCCATTTGGCATGGGTGGACACGTGGCGTGTCTCAATTGGTCCGTAGAGGACGTATCTGTGATTGACACGTGGTAGGCTCCTATTGGCCTACGTGAAGGACACGTGGCGGAACCTGGTTGGTCCACTTGTCAGACGGTGATTGGTGGATAAAAATCCCCTAATCATTTGCCCCTCACAGGTGGCACGTGACTGGTAACGTGTCACCTGTGACAGGTGTCGCATGGTGACAGGCGACGGCCTGCTACAGGTGTCACCTTGCAAATGGCCGAGAGATTTTCCCGCCCAAATTTTGAATTTGGAAGCGACCCTTCGCCTTCTCACTTTGCCTATATAAGGAAGTGCTGACTTCGGTCATTTTCACATTTGAGAACTTTGCGAGAGAACATTCGGACCCCTGAACTTGCTCTGACACTTTGGACTTTTGTTGCCTACCGCCTGCTCTGACAAGCCGTTTGCAAAGGATTTCAGAATTTCATCAGTCGTCACTCGTTCAGGTAACCGTCGGTTCTCTTATTCTTAATTTTTTTTCTTATTATTATTTTTTGAAATGGCACCATGGAAGCACACGACACGACCTAAGTTAGTGATCAGCCGGTCACCGGGGACGGCTGAATCTAGGACTAGGAGTGCCGCCTGCCCTTTTCTGGACCCATCTTTGCCCTTTATACAAAGTCCGACTGTATATGTGTCTATGCAGAACGTGATGGCCAGAACAAAAAAGACTGCTAGGATCTCAAACTCGGACGGCTCCTCCCAAAGGGTGCCCATTAGTGAAACATCTGACCAGGCGCCAGATGTAGAAGTGAAACAAGGCGGCTGCCAAGCCGACAGTTCTGAGGGAGGGGTCAAGGTGGTCCCTTCCCATTTCACCGTTGATATGTCTAACTTTTCTCCTGCTCCTTCTAAGGGAGAGGAGGCGGGCCCCTCTGGGAGAGGGGAGGAATCGTCCTCTTCGGACTCGTCAGAGGACGAGTCCGAGTCCAGCTCTTCTGGCCACGCTTCTCCAGGCTCAGAAGAAAGAAACAGCCGCCTACAAGAGGCGAGGCTTTCTCATGCAGTTGAGAAGGGGGGCAATTGGGCGGAGCCGTCCGCCTCTTACAGAGAGGAAAACACCCCCTACTACTGCACGGTACCCCGGGGCCGGATCGCAGCCATGCAAGACAAAGTGGAGAGCTTTATAGCTAACCACAGAATGGGCCCCGGATTTTTACTATTCGTGCCGGATCCAGAAGACACTGTCTTCTGGCCGGCTAGTACCAGCTACGATGACGGCTGCTTTGGCTGCTATGTGGCGGCCATCAAAGCTGGACTGCGCTTCCCATTACATCCGGCTGTTCAGCGGATTTTAGATGGGTATGATTTGGGGTTATGGCAGTTAGCCCCCAACTCTTGGGTAAACGTACTCGGCTATGTGGTCGGGTGCGAAATGTACGGGGTGGAGCCAAGCTTTGAGGCTTTCGCCCACATGAACTATCTCAGCCGGACCCCTAAGTCGGGCGGTACCGGTTGGTATCAATTAACAAGCCATAGGGGCTACCTCATGACGAGAGGTAAGGCGAACAAATGGAAGGATTGGCGGAACACCTTCCTTATCATCGAGGGTTCAGACACGGAGCTGAACAAACGCTTTAACAAGTGGAATAGGGATCCGCCTCTTCTCGCAGGCGGCCGAAGCATGTCACCTGTTCCCCCAAAGGCTAAAAAAGAGATCCTAGACAAAGGACTCTTCAAAGTAGAGACTAGGGTGAACTCTACTTCAGGGGTACGAGAGCAAGTACCCCTAAACTGCGTCCGAGCTTCAAGTGGCTCTATGAAGAGTAC